GGCCCGGGGTGCAGGCTGGCCACCTGCCATGGCACCAGGGGGGGAGGGGGGGCAAGCAGGCTGGAACCAGGGTGGAAGCTGCGCACCCCAGGACCCGTGTCGCGGCGCGGCGCGCAACGGCAGTGTGGGGGCGACTGGGTGTGTGCCTGGCTGCGGGCCCGTTACATGCGGCGTCCCTGGGGGCGCTCATGAACGCCGGCGCCCGCCGCGATCGCGCGCGCGCATCAGCGCGTCGGGCAGCCGCCAGCCTCGCTCACTGGTGGCTTGTACTTCTTGGACGGCCCCGCGTCTGGTGCGGGCCTACTAGGTCCACGCGTGAGGTGGTCCGGCAGCACCGGCGCATCATCTTCGGCCAATGCAGCGCTCGCCTGCTCCGCGCCGGGCCACTCCGGCTGCGGCGACCCAGCACTCATCGCGCGCGCCTTGGGCTCGCCTGCTCCGGCCCTGGTGACCCCCGAGGACGCTGAGTGGTCCCTAGGTCTGCTTCAGCACTCGTCCTGACTCGTGTGCGCAGCCCCTCCGACGAGCATCACACGAGCACCGCTCGTCAAGCTGGCCTGAACCTCCGATGCCTCACGTTGGCTCGCTCGAAGCCTCTAGGTGATGCAGAAACTTGCAATAACCAAGGTCGCCGGCGTCTAACGAGCCCAAGCGAGCATGGCCCGCCGATGATGAATTGCCGGGCGGGCAACGACGAGCTGCTTGAATTCTAACAAATGGGTTGTACCTGAAGCAAGTGTGTCGAGCCAGCTGGCCGCTTGGCGCCAATGAGATTTACAAGGGGGGTAATCGAGCCCCCACCGTAACTCGGACAAGCAAGGCGGTGCTGTAGAGATCAGCTGTGGTGTTTTTATCTTCAAAGTTTTTTGGCACGTTTGGCAACACACGAGTCCGATCCCACGGCGTTGGAGTGCGTGGCTGTTGGCCGTGTGGGGGACTTGCGCCGTGTCTCAGATATCGTGGTTGTTCTGCATAGGGTAATCAACAAACCTTAGCCGAGGGAAACGATGAGGACCCAGCCACCTTCAGCATCGTGCGACCGTCGAGCTCTGCGTCCCCCGACAGACCCTTGACGTGCGCCGACCGTCACTGCGCAATGGCTGCGTTCATAATGACGGGTTGGACCCCTGACCGGGGTGTGACAAGGAGTATGCCTGGAGTAAGAGCGGCCTCAAGTGCCCTCACTGCTGGGCCATAGCATATGATGAGCGGCAACTCGCCGTCATCTTACCGCACAACTTGAGCGTTTAAGCAATGAGACGAAATTGACCGCCCGTAGGAAAAGAGCAAGGCACCAGGGCTTTGAGGAACAGCATAACAGCGCAGGCTACAGGCATAGCAGCCTCAGGAAATTCGCAGCCGATGGGGCGTCAGGCGGGGCCACTGCTTGACGATCCCAGGGCGGGGGCCAGGCCGCCCGCTGCAAGCGCATGCGCGCGGGCCTGTGGCACGAGGCCGCGAGTGCGGACGGCACAGTGCAATGTTTCTTCACGGCAAGACTATTGCATGTGGGGCAGGGAGGGGACACACGAGGGATACGGTACCCCAGCGCGCTGCTGCAATTGCGCGTGGATGCACGCAGGGGGCAAGACCTCTTTGCAGATGCCGACTGCAACGATCTCCATGCTGGCAGCCAATCTCGCCGCTCAGAAACGCTTGGTGTCAGCCAGGGCGGCGGCATGCGGCGGCACAAGGGGGGCTGTGTACCTCAGGCGCTGCAGTGGACTGTGTTCTACTGCTTGGCCACACGGGGTCCCATGCCCACGCCATCCGCTCTGATGGGGCCACCGCATAGCATTGTGTAGGAGCCAATTTCAAGCACGTTGTTGTGCGCTGTGGTGGACGGCGCGGGTCCGTGCGCGTGCAAAGAGTGGGGTTGCAACGAGTGGCTGTTGCTCTGGATGGTCGCTGCAGCTCCACACCTGTGTCAAACTCAGCGATCACACACTGCGCATTTGCAACGCCCAAGCCGCAGCGAGGCTCGAAAGCAGCTGCACACCAATGACCTGCAGCAGGCTGCGCGAATCAGGAGATTAAGGGTGAGGGCTCCACGGCAACACCTGCTGCTTGGCACGTTGGTACCCTGGGTTAGAGCCAAGTGCACCAAACAGTAAGGTTGACACTCTCGCGCAACCGCCTCCAGGCACGGCGCATTGCAGAAAGCCAAACCAGATCTGCTGCTGCGCCAACAGCATCACCCTTGCCGCGCTGGCAGTTGATCAGCGGACACTTCACACTTGTTGGGCAGATACCGTTCCATATAACAGGTGGTCACTTGCGGGAAAAAAGTACTTGGAAAATATCCCTGGTTGAGCTGGACGGTGCCCATATTCAGCTGGCTCCACAACAGATCGCGTTGAGCCGCCCTGTATCGGCTCATTTGTGCGTCAGTTTTGTGATATAAAAGACTGCAATACAAACACCTTAAATTCGTTTGGACGTCGTGCTGCTGCAGGGTGGCGCAATGCAGCAGCGGGTGTGTGCCGCTTCATCGGCGCCGGGTGCCAGGCTGCAGCTTCGACGTCGAGCCTCCACCTGGGGCCCTTGCACCCGTCGTCCTTGGTCCAATGCAGCGTCGGCAGATATCAGCGGCAGCATGGACTCAGCAAATGGCTCCGCAGGCGACTGTGGGCCTGCGTGTGAGCAGCGGTGGCTTGCTGAGTCCCCTTTGACTTCTCAGGACGACGCCCCTGCACCCTCTGCAACCGAGGGGTGCACCAGCAACAACGCCAGCGTCAGATGCAGCAGCAGCGGCAGCGCCAGCGCCGCGGCCGCGGTGCCCGCGCGGCGCGACGGCGACCCGAGGGAGCGCGCCAGCAAGCAGCGCATGGCGTCGCACGCAAAGCACGGGGTGGTTTCCCTATCAAAATCGTGGGCCGCCCTGTCATCGGGCGCGGCTGATGTGGCGCGCTTCTGCGGCGACAGGCAGATCACCCCGCCGGCCGCGGCGGCGGCGCGGGAGCGGCGGGACCGCGGTGGCGATGACGGCGCGGGGTGCGCACGCCTGGCGGGGTGCGGATGCGGGGGGGAACAAAACGCTATGCTCACCCGTCTGGTCGCACCTCAGCAGCGAGGTGCAGCTGCATGCACAAACCACCTCATCCGCCATGGCTTTGCCACTCGCGCCCGCT